TATACAGCAGATGCTGTGCATTAATTGGCCTGCGTAGAAATGACCCAGGGTTCCTTGCAGCGGGCCCAATTTTAGGCAGAGGGTTTAAAGAGCTTATTTATTATTTTGTATAATCTGGCGTACATTATGTGCTCCTGCATGTGTCGTATTTCATGGTCTGCAGTTTCTAATGTCATGTGGGTTTCCAAACCTGTGTTTCCCTGGTAATGTACTAGCAGCAGGTAAGCTCAAAATACCATCCATCAGGAGCTAATTTTTTATCCAGATACTCCAATGACTGATGAACCTGTCTTTTGTATGAATGTTTAGCGCAGTAGAAAGCCATATGCCACTGGCACCGTTTCCTCTGCCTTCTTTCCAGTTGCCGGAGAGTGGGCTTGCGGGGGGAAAGCCCCTCCACCGTTTCCCACCTCGTGCCTGTGTCTAAAGGATCACACTTTTAACACTGGCCTCGGTTTTGGACCACAAAAGAGGGGAGGGACCGTCTTACAGGAAATCCGACCCTGGGCCGCGATCGCTTTCTTTATCAGAGAAACATGACGGCTCTCTCCTAATAGGGAACCTTGTTTTGTTGCTCCCCGTCTGTTCTAAACAGACCTCAGCCCATTAGAGGGGCCTCCCTCGTGTGGGAAGACCACAGCTGTTACTGTAAACCTCATCCCGTCACTGTATCGCCCCCATTTTGTGGCTCTGAAGGATGAAATTGAGAAATGGAATACTGTGCAGTCATCCTTTACGTCTCCAATTTTAGGCCTTTGCCATCATTTTCATGCCTTTATTCCAAATCAAATAACATTAGTGAGCTACACCACCTTGTGATGGATATCTGGTATTGAGCACAGCTTTCAAGTCGGTGCTTTTATGTTTGGTGCAGGTCTCTCGCCCTTTCTCTCCCCTTTCTCTCCCTGCCCTTCTTCTGAGCTCTCCTCCTGCACTTGCTGTCTGCATAACACAAGTTGCCGAACGTGTCCCTGTCTTAACGTGTTTTCCGAGAGCGGCGTGTGCAGCGGGAGGTTGCGTGCCTTTTAATCTTTGGGGAAGAAGTGAAAGGAACTTGGTAGAAGGCTATTGGGAGCTTTAATTGAAGATAAAAGTCTCTGGGGGAAAGAGTCCTCTGAAAATAAATGAAACTTGATAGATTTCCATATCATTTATAACTTCCCTTAATTACACTTGGAAGACTTGCCAGTAAAACTGGAAAATTGGCAGCCTATATGCATTAGAGTCATTTTGCCGACCATGGCAAGCAGCTGGCTCTACTGGATTTTATTTCCCATCACTCACAATTAATCATCAGCTGGAGATGGCTGAAGCTCTTCAGCACAGAGCAGGCATCCAGGCCTCCCGAGCGGGCGGAAACCTGCCCCGATCGCGGGCCGAGTCCGCTCTCCAGCTCGCTCACTCGTGTGGGAGCGAGGCCGGCTCCTGCCTAATGAGCGCGCTCCGATAATCGGCTGCGAATGTGAACCCTGACCCCGTGTCAAAGGAGAGGACGCAATAAGCCGAGTGAAAGATGGAGGATTCAGGCCTCCGAACTTTACAGCAATTAGACAGGGAGTGGAGAAGTGCATCATGCAGACTGGGTTGATCAAGACGACTTGCGGGGCTTGTGACCATTTTGTAAGCCCAACACTGGAGACATCCTGTCACAATCATTAAGTCTCTATCAGACGATTCACCAAAGTGTTAGGGAAGTGTGCACACACACTCCTTCAGCAGCGGGGCCTCACATGTGAGCTGTGGGGTGGAGACTGACTTTACGTGGCCCCTGTGCTCGCACAGTTAGTGCCCGGCTTTCCGAGCAGCGGGGAAACCCACAAGGTACACCAGCCTTCCCGAGTGCGGGATGGGGGGGCGGGGAACGGGCCCCTCTGCACAAGGAGGCTTCCAGGTTGCTGAGGTGAGAGGCCTGGGAATGCCCTCTCCGTTCCGTGTTGTTGGACTGGAACCCCTACTTAGAGCCCCATCTGCATTTTTGTTGTTGTTGTTGTTAAATATATTTTATTGATTTTTTGCAGAGAGGAAGTGAGAGAGACAGAGAGTTAGAAACATCGATGAGAGAGAATCATCGATCAGCTGCCTCCTGCACACCCCTCACCAGGGATGTGCCCGCAACCAAGGTACATGCCCTTGACCGGAATCGAACCTGGGACCCCTCAGTCCGCAGACCGATGCTCTACCACTGAGCCAAACCGGCTTCTGCCCCATCTGCATTCTTTGCTAAGTGGTTTGTACCACGTTTCTTACCCAACTTGGATTTTTGAGGAATGAAGTAATGAATTGAGATCAAGTTCACGTGCGCAGGTACACAATGATTCTATTGACCGACACGTATCTCACTATTCTGAGGGGTGAAGAAACAACTTCCAAGAGTTCTCTCTCTTTTAGGGACAAATGAGTGAAAACAGAAGACACAGCAGATTACGTGAACGCACAGAGAGATGAATTACTTAAATTTCCAACTATAGCTCAGTAATAGAGGTGGAGACCAGCAAACCCTGGGGGAGAAACCAGGGAGAAGAGGAAGCTGTGGGGTTGAGTTTTGCAGCGCTGGCTGTGGGAGGGAGAAGGGCAGGCGCGCAGAGTGGGCGCTCTCTGTGAAGTCCCACTAATCGAATTGCCAGAGCCAGGCAGTCAGACACTCAGAGCGAAGGGGGTGTTCAAATTTGGAACTCCTCCCCCGCTCCCCCCCCCCCCCCCGTCCTGATTGCCTCTGGCTACATCAGAGGTTTTGTTTTTTCGATAAACAATTGGGGACCTACCACTTGTAGCTACTTGTACACATCACCCATGCTGCAGGCATCCGGGCCAGCTAAGAAAGACTGTTGGGGGCCCCATAGCCTTTCTGTCTCTGCCACCCCGGGCTCCAGCAGGCCCTGATCTAACCTCAGTGTGGCTGTGGCCCAGTCCAGCTGTCCTCCCGCACGTTTCCTGGGCATTGTTGTCAGATTGGCCTAGGCCGGCCTGCCTTGGGGGTAACTTTTGGAAATCTCCTGGTTCATATCTTTTTTTTTATGTGTTTGCATTAACTGTGAAATCACTGACTTGAAGTTCTCTAAGAAGCAGTGAGGGGCACTCTGGCCAGCAGATGCCAAGCAGGTTGAGCCACTGCAGAGGAGCAAGGCTGTGTCCGCCTAAGAGAAGCCCATGAGGCCCGGGACAGGGAGAAGGGGGCTCTGAGCAAGCCCGCTGAGGAAGCCTGGCTGGTGGAGCGTGTGTGTGTGTGTGTGTGTGTGTGTGTGTGTGGTGTGTGTGTGTGGGGGGGGGTGTCCGGAGTGGGGTAGGGGGTCCATGGGTTGTGGGCACCAGTCCATCTGTGGAGGAAAGAGCTACCGGAGCCCCAAGGCGGGAGCTGACTGCTAAGTTTTGGATGGAATTCTCGTTGAATTTCAGATCCATTTCCCCAAACCCCTGAGCCCTGTTGGAATGCCCAGGCCTTGGGTTGGAGCGCTGTTTCCTGAGGTCAGCTCTGACGCTCAGCCTGGTCTCGGAAGCCTGTAGTGGAGCTACCAGGGCTTTTTGTGTGGAGCTACATGGCAGGTACCTACTAGCCTGGGGGAACTTGCCCTTCCTCCATCTTGCCTGATCCCAAGGCTCTGAAACGACAACGACAACGTGAGGGGTAGCTGTTGACACCCTCTGCCTGGGCATCCGCCTTGTCTTTGAGCTGCCCTCGCTTCTCTTCCTCTGCATTTTGAAGAACACTGAGTTTGAAAGTACAGCCCTCTCGAGTTGATTCTTCCTCTCCATGGAATGCAGATGCCAGGTGAAAATGAATCAAAAAGGGCAGCGAGCACAGTGCTTCGTGCCCAGCTCTACAGCACAGTCTCTCCTCCGTGCCAGCACCGAAGCTTGGCATCCCCTCTCTTCCTACGTTTCTGTGCCAGGAAAAAGCTGCCCACCACCTGATCAGCGGAGGAAAGGAATGCATGCACAGGGCCCAGGCAGTGCCGCCTGCCAGCAAGACAGCTTGTGCCCCACAGGGGGCCGGACAGGGCTTGGAGATCATCTGGGGATTTCGGGAAAGAACATTCTTCAGGCACTTCTGCAACGCTGGGCAAGCACAGCTGCAGTGGTGTGAGCACCCAGGAGCCCCCCACCAGAGGCCCGCCAGCCCCCCACATCACTGGGTGCCCTAGGAAATGGGACTCTCCCATTTCACAGACTGGGAGGCTGTTTTTCACAAAGTAGGAGAAAGCCCAGGCCAGCCCATTGGTGTTTACCCATCAAGGGCAGAGGAAAAAAACAGAATTGCTTTTAGTTACAGCTGAATTCTGGGTGGAAGACCCAGGTTAAACCCGGGGAGTTCATACCAGCTCAGCCTGGATTTCCCACTTAACAGCAGGCAGACATCACCATACCAAGCTTGAGCCCTGGAGCCCAGGCCAATGGGAGCTCCCGGTGTCCTGGCAAGGAATGGGCACAGCTCTAGAAATCGTTCCCGGCCCCGTGAGGTTTGGGACCATGGTCTCGGGGCCCGGATGTTTGGCTGTTGTTCCCATCTCCCCAGGTCTGTAGAGAGAAACTCCATTTTTTGATACTAGTTTTACTGAGATAAAATTCACATGATTCATTCCTTTAAAAGTATGCACTCGAGTGGTTTAGGTTTATTCACCCAGTTGTGTAACCATCACCACAGTCAATCCGAGAACATTTTCACCCACCTCCCAAAGGAAGCTGTGTGCCCACCCATCAGCAGTCATTCCCCTTTCCCTCCACCTCTGGAACCACAGATCTTTCTCTCTGTAGAACTACCTATTGACTGCGTGCGAGTGGAAAGCAAGCCTGTTTGCCATTTCTCTGATTCCCAGGCATGGCCTTTCTCTGCTGTCCCCCAAAGAGGGATCTGGGATTTGGAGTATATATCTGAGGTTGCTGTTACGGTTTGGATAAAATTTTAGCGTGTTGGAGGAAGAATTTCTTAACGGCTTCACACTTGAACACTGTTGTAAAATGAGAATGCTGCTAACAAGTCTGTCCATTTTTTGTTCATTTTCCAGGTATCAGAAGGTCAGGAAATATGTGTGATTGAAGCCATGAAAATGCAGAACAGTATGACAGCTGGGAAAACTGGCAAGGTATGTCCCCAAGTTCCTGCCAGCTCATGTCAGCTCTGTGACAGGAAGCAGAACTTCCACCTTTGAATCTTGGACGATTAGGCCTGAAAGGGACCACAGGCGAGATCCCTTCCCACCATCCCTCCCGCAGATGGGGGGCATTAGATCGGAGCTCTTTCCTCCCTGGACCGGTGTGTCCTTGCCTTGTGGAGAGCAGGCCTTCCAAGAGAGTCTGTATCGTGTTCAGATCGTCAAGGAACAATTGTTCTTCACCTTAATGTCTTTCAAATTAAGGGGTCTTTAATTTTTAATGTTTACATCTGTCTTGGAGGCAGTTAGTTATCTGAGACTTAGGCGACACAGCAGGAAATGGTTATAGAGATTGCAAAAATTAATGTAACTCTTCAAGATAATTTCTCCACAAAGAGAACAATTCAATTTTAGATCGAGAGGAGCTGAAAGCCCCATGTACACATGTGGGATGTAATGATTTAGGGAGAAAAAGGAGGTGATGTATTAGTACTGAAATGTATCAAGAGTAAAAACTTCTTACGTGTCTTTCTCCTTGAAGAAAATAGGAAAGGCCTTAAAAGCAATCACCTCATTATCCTTTCTGTGACTGTGAAGACACCATTTGTAGCAGAATCGTCCTTCTGTGAGGGATAATTTGGTAAAGGTCTGGAGGGAGGTGGGCGCAGGCGGCCACGTCCTGTACTGTGGCCACACCTGACGGAGGCTGGGCCTGTGGACCACGGTGCCTGGCGGAGAAGTGCTGTCAGCTCACAGTGAAATCTGCATCAGGAGATTTGTCACCCAAAGAGAAGTGAACAATGCTCAGAGAACGTGCTGAGGACTCCAGTCCATCCCGGCGGGAGGGCGAGGCCAGGCCAGAGGGGGCTGCACACAGCTGTCTCATCTCCGTGGTTTTGGAAGAGGAGAAAGGCATGATTTGTACCTTTTTTTAAAGGAATCATGCTTTCTAGATGATTACTTTTTAAAAATATATATTTTATTGAATTTTTACAAAGAGGAAGGGAGAAGGATAGAAAGAAACATCGATGAGAGAGACATATCGATCAGCTGCCTCCTGCACACTCCCTACTGGGGCTGTGCCCGCATCCAACGTACATGCCCTTGACCGAAATCGAACCTGGAACCCTTCAGTCCGCAGGCTGACGCTCTGTCCATTGAGCCAAACCAGCTAGGGCTAAATGATTACTTTTTAAATATATATATATTTTTATTGATTTCAGAGAGGGAGAAGCGAGAGTTAGAAACATCAATGATGAAAGAGAATCATTGATTGGCCTCCTCCTCCTGCGTGCCCCCTATTGGAGATGGAGCCCACAACCCAGGCATGTACTCTTGACGGGAATCGAACCTGGGACCCTTCAGTCAGAAGACTGATGCTCTATCCACTGATCTAGACCAGCTAGGGCTACTTGGTAACTTTTTATAAGGTGAACAAGAAAATACTGGTTTCTGCTCTTGTGAAACTGTTACGTTTGTTCCTGGAGATTAACACTGACCCTGCATTGGCACCATGAGATTTCCATCTGTGACGAGACATGCCCTCATCTGGGGGGAAGCAGAATGTGTCAGATGCATGTCAAGGGCCTGAATTGATGGACTGAGATACTCACACAGAAATGAACTTGGTTCCATCTCCCCGAAGGAGCAAGGGCTCGTGTCTGTCCGTGTGTTTACGTCCTTGTGGCCTGGGCGTCACCGTGAAGGCTCAGCTGCTCCCTGGTCAGCAGCCCAGAGCTGCTTTCAGGGTGTCACTGGGCTCTGGGCGAATTTGTCTGTGGCCTGACCCCTATTAGCTGCATTGCTTCCTGCTCATCTGTCTCCCTCCGCCCCCCAGCAGGGCACCAGGATTGGCTGGAGCCCCAGCCCAGAGCACCAGGCCCTGGGTCGCCGAGGGGCTGGTGGTTCCTACCTGGGGGCCATTTTTCCTCCCAGAGAAAAGGTTCACAAAGAAGTAAGCTCTTTACTTTAGTAATCGCAATGAAAAATACTGCCTATATAAACACTGGTTTCAAATCATAAAAGCAGCCACTTCGCCGAAACCGGTTTGGCTCAGTGGATAGAGCGTCAGCCTATGGACTGAAAGGTCCCGGGTTCGGTTCCGGTCAAGGGGATGTACCTTGGTTGCAGGCACATCCCCAGTAGGAGGTGTGCAAGAGGCAGTTGATCGATGATTCTCTCTCATTGATGTTTCTAACTCACTATCCCTCTCCTTTCCTCTTTGTAAAAAATCAATAAAATATATTTAAAAATAAAATAAAAGCAGCCACTTCAGTGCAAACAGCCCCTGTTGAACAAGGCCTGGGAAGTAGTCATTGCACAGGTTCAGGTCAGCCTGAAAGGGCCTGGGCTACCGCTCAGGGAAGAGGGCCCTTCTAGCCCGCTGGCACGGAGCCTGCTGTCGCTGGTGCTGTTCCTGTGTGCCACTTGTTAGTTCCAACCCTTTGTTCATTTTTTCACCTGAGGAACAAACTCCCAAGAAGTCAAACCACTATTTCTTTCCCAGTTGCCCTCTTATTTGAGATCTGAACACAGCTTGGGAAAGCAAACCTGATTAACGTTGGGAGAAAAGCAAAGGATGAAAGAGCACACTAACAACATCGAGGGCGCTCAGGGCTTGTTTCATATCACACCGCAGAGTACTATCCCTGAAGCCCACCGCTTCTGAGCATGTCATTTCCCTTCAGGAAGTTTCTGGTCAGGCTAGGGAGTTTCTCCTGTGAATGAGTACCTGTTTGGCCTTTGGTATAATTGTATTTTGTTTCGGGCTTCTTGTTGTTGTTATATACCATTAACTCAAAGAGAACATTTCTGCAGATTATGGAGGGCTGGGTGTTGAGAGCTTATCCAGGATCAACCTAGTGGCTCTTAGGGTGCTGCCTAGACCCGTGAGCACCCAGGGCAAGGGCCAGCCAGCGGGAATTGCCTCCACCAGCGACTTAAGGACAAGGACAGGAGCACCAGGGGAGGGCAAGGTGGTGAGTCAGGGCCCTGCACGAGGCTGTCCCTCAGCACGAGATCCCCTCTGACTGTGATCCCGGAGTCCTACCTGTGCTCCCAGCCCGACTATCTCTCCAATTCCAAAATCAATAACAACATTGCTCCTTCCTGGTCCAGTTAATCATTCTTACCCCCCCTTTTTTTTTTTTTAATTTTTATTCAAGGTGAAATCAGTCCATTGTAAAGCTGGGGACACAGTTGGAGAAGGAGATCTGCTCGTGGAACTGCAATGAAGTATTTATAGCCTTTCAGCCGTCACCCGGTTTAATTAGCCATTTGTATTATTATTATTCTTTCACTCAATTTATCCAAGCATTTTGCGGGAACACCCCTGCGCAGCAGATTTTACACGGTCATATTTATTCCACATATAGTCAAAACCAACATTCTGCCAAAAAAAAATCACCAATGGAAATTTTTACTGTTATAAATACTTGTACATATGATTTGTACTTCTGCTATGAGCTTTCCTAGTGTCAAAGTTAAATCAATAAAATTGAGCGTTTGCCTAAATATCAGTTTGCCCTTTTTTGAATGAAGACAATGTGCGCGTGGACTTGAAACACTAGCATTTCATTGTGATCCTTTAAAATATTTATATGAATCCCAGCTCTTTGTCATCAGTTTTAGTAGTTTGGCATTTGCCAGCCTATAACCTGGATGCCTGCTCATCCTGGCTGAGGACTCCTGCTTGTGGTTACTTGTAACCTCCTACAGCATTGACGGTGATCACGGAGATCCCCTGCACGGCTCTGATGGGTAAGTACTGGACCTGCTGGATCCCTAGACGTCACCTTAAGGAGAGATGAGTCACAGGGCCCCTCTTCCCCCCGGACCCCTCTCGCCCCAACTGCAGTGGGTGGGGTTGCCACCAGCTCATCAGCCGATAGCCATCCTTGCCTTTTTGTGTCTTTGTGAAGCAAGTTTCCAACCAGGAAAAAGGGGCTAAAAATAATGACCGTGTCTTTGTGCCAGACGCAGTTGGTGATCACAGTCTACCATTAAGTTGAAGAGTGAGCGAGCTCTCCCAGAGGAGACGAGGTTTCTGAGATCAGCAGCTGCATTTTCGTTCGGTTCCGAAGTTCTTGGAATACATTTCACACTTTGCTGGTAAGCGAGCAGAAGCAGTCGTGCACTGATCTGAATCTACGCTGACAGATCACGAGGTGGAGGTGGGTAGTAATTGCTGCTTCGTGCCTCACCAAAATTATTTTAAGTGTTGTTTGTGTTTGGAAGCTAAGCTCTCTGTCAGGCCTGAGGAACAAATTGCTAATGTGCTGGTTCTTCTCCAGAGGCCCTCCCCCAAATGCCGCTCCCTTGGAAGCAGGGACGGTGCCTGCCGCTGAGCAGTGGGCTTGGGGACCTTCCATCTTAAACCAGGGTGTTCAGCTGTGTCTGCCAGCAAGCAGGTGCTCATTGTTTTTGCTAGGTTAGAAGAAAAAGAACCTTCTACCAAATAAGGTCCAAGAAAGGGGCCAAAAATGGCACCAGCACTTTTATATTTGACTTTCTAAAACATATTTAATTTTAAACGATCATCTTTAATAGTCTCTTTAATAAGCTTGACCTGAAAATGGTGAAGAACAATGTTGTATGTTCTCCAGAACTACTCTAAAATGCAGCATGGTTTTCTTGAGTTTCTTTTATTATTTATCACACCGAGACATCCAAGATCAGCTCAGCGTTTTTTTTCCTCGGTGCTATGCAGGTCTGAATCAATAGAGTGGGGCTGCTGAAATCTAGCTGCAACACACAGTCTTCACATTCATTTTAAATGTCATCGTCAGATTAAAGCAAAGCAGACAAAGAAGAAAGAAAGGGATGATAACATATGAGTTCCTGAAATGCCATGTAGGGGAATTAAAAGCCTAAATTTTTCTTACCCAGTACATTCAGACACCTAACGCTCTCGAAGCAGCAAGCGATAAAGCAGTATTGGATGGACAGATTTCAGGGCGCAATCCTATTACTGGTAAGTCAAAACTATCTAGGAAATTGGCTAGGCACTAAGAGAAAGTATGTCTTTCTCCACAGATTTGAGTTTCACAAATATTTGTTGCAAAGGACATCATTAGGCTTTTGCATTCGGAGCGTGCAGACCGAGCTGAGGTGATCTCACCGTCCTCGGGGCTCTGTGTGTCTGTGCCCGGGCTAGCGGGCATTCCTCGGGCGGTCATCTGTTTTCCCGGGGGTTGTAGCGGAGCCCGTGCGGCCCCTGCGAGTCGTAATCGTCGAGGTGGGGGAGCTGGGCCCAGTCGGGCGGGAAGGTGGCCGTGCTGTACACGAAGCACTGCCGGCTGCTCGCAGCGGCGGCGGGCGGCTCCCGGGAGGCCTCCCCCTCGAGCACCGCCACGCGCACCCGCACGCGCTGGTACATGTCGGGGCAGCCCTCGAACTCGTCGAGGAAGCGCAGCATCTGCTCGTCCACGGCGTAGATCTCCCCGGCCACGCGGAGGCCTCGCCCCGGCAGGTGCAGCAGCCGCGGGATGTTGTGCTCCCCGGCGATCACCAGCGGGTACGGCTCCTCCGTGCGGCCACGGCCCCTGAAGGTGGCCCGTCCGTTGGCGCTGTCCAGCAGGACCTTGTGGTTGGGCTGGCCCCGCTTCAGGGTCCCGTACACGAACACGTCGGCCATCGGGCAGAGGCCTGCGGAGGAGAAAGGAAGCGGGCTGTCGGCACACGTGCCAGAGACGGCAAGGCTTTGGGCTCAGCTGGGGCTGGAAGCTTGCCTGCAAGGGCCAGAGAGTAAATATTCTGGTTCCTGCTGGAGCAGCTGTTCCCAACCCCAGCGCAGCCGGAGCCCCCTGCTCTGGCCCACCCTGTGGTGGCTTGAGGTTCCAGCAGACACCTCAACCCTTTAGTCATTTTCTGGGGAAAGGCACTCTTGGTGGGAACACACTTGCCAGATGGAGCCTGGCCTGGGATTGAGCCCCGAGACCTGCAGTTTTCCAGAGCAGTTCATTTCTAATCATTTTATTTATTTAAATATATTTTTATTGATTTTAGAGAGGAAGGGAGCAAGAGAAACATCGATGATGAGAGAGAATCATTGATCGGCTGCCTCCTGCATCCCCCACACTACGGATCGAGCCTGCAACCTGAGTATGTGCCCTTGACCAGAATCGAACCCAGGACCGTTCAGTCCATAGGCCAACACTCTATTCACTGAGCCAAGCCGACTAGGACCACTTTTAATCATTTTAAAAGGGCTTTAAAAAGCACACGATACATATTACAGAAGAAAATACGAGTGATGATAAATGAAAGTGTGGACGTGTGTGCGTATGTATGTGTGTGTGTGTCTGTGTAAAATAGTCACCTGTGATGGGCTACAAGAGAGAATTCAGGGGGCAGCACTGGCTTTACATCCCAGTCCTGACAGCATGACCCACCAGCCCTGCAACAAGCAGCTTCCTGTTCCTTTTTCAAGGTCCTGGAGGGCAGTGACGCCTCCCTGTGACTCACCGTGACTCATGCAGTGACCTTGGCTCCGGTGTGAAGGTGAGCACTCACTGCTGCCTGGGCCTGGGCCCAGACCGTTATGTAACCCACCAAAGTAATCTGTGTGAAGATGACTCAGAGAGAAGTGGAAATAAATCAGAGTGGAGCCGGTTGGGCTCTCATCAAAGCCTGGCATCTCCCTGCCCTGCTTGCCCAGCGCTGTGCAGGCTTCGGACACGAGGCACCTGTGCAGGAAACAAAGGGTGTGTCCACCTGCCAGTGGCAGCCTACGGCCAGCCAGCAACGCCTGGAGGTGACACCCCTGGACATGCATCGCCTGGCAAGTGGCCCTTGGAGGAGCCACACTTAGTTCCTAGGTCTTGTGCTTTCTTCTCAGCCAACAGGCCTGGTCCGGGGTCTCCCTGCCTCTTCAGGGAGGAAGGACATTCCCAATGGGGCTTTGCCCACCCACTCACCCCCCTCGACTGCCCTGTTCTCAGTCACGGGCCTGTGGAATGTCGGGAGTCCCATAGGGTTCAGGAAATTGTACTTGGGGAGGTGTGGCCATGGGGAAAACACAGGGCTGGCAGGCACATGCAGTCCAGGCATTTGACAACACCGGGACACCTTGAGCAGGACCAGGGCCTGCTGGGAGCTCCGGGCTGGTTACTCTGATGAGGCGGAAGGACAGATCAGGCTGTGGGACTTGGAGGGGGGCTCCCTCAAGCATGGAAAGTTAAGTAGTGAGTCAAGCGGAGCCTGGAATTGAAGTGCAGAGAGGAGGGAGGCACAGGGGCACAGAAGCGTGGGAGCTGCAGGTGGCAGGACTGCTGCGTGGAGAATGGAGGGAGGACAGAGACTGGAGAGCAAGCAGACAGGGTGGCGGGGACTGTGTCTGGAGAGGTGGCCTGGGGAGTGATCTGGAGAGGAGGGTGGGGTGGGATCAGAGCGTGAAGGAGCCATCCCCGACTTCTGTCTCCCACACTTGCATCCCGTCTTGTTGCTCAATCTGTTTACTCCTCCAGGACACACCCATGAGCAGGAGTTCTCACCCCTTCACACTGTCCCCCTGTTCCCTAATGGGCTCGCTTCTCTGTTCCCTCCAGCCTGGACCCATCGTAGTCACGGTCAGTCTTGCTGCAGACTCCATGATCCTGTTGGTGCAGCTGCCTTATTGCCCCTCATCTCCCTCCAGCCACCCTTGGAATGACGCCTGCCCACCCTGGGCCTTTGCAGTCACTACTTGCCCACTGGGTTCCAGTCCCTTTAGATGCCCTCCTGAACAGCTGACCTGAAGCAGCACCCATCCAACCTTTCAGTCCTATCACATCACCCCCATTGGCTCTCTGTATGGTACGTGTTCTCCAAATCACTGCTCGTCTCGTTCACTGCCAGACTGTGAGGAGCTGGAGGAGAACCTGGACACCATCTAGTCCTATGGTGCTGAGTCTCAAATTGGTGAAGATGACTCAGGCTGCATACAGGGCAAACCAGTCAAAACTGGAGACCCACCCTCCCATCATTGGTGCCCTAGCTTCCCCCTTTCGATAACATTTTATCACTATTATATATTTTTAATCATCACTCAAGGACATGTTTTTGTTATTTTAATTTTGGAGAGAGAGGAAGTGAGAGAGGAGAGAGAACTGTCAATGTGAGAGGGAAACACCGATTGCTTGCCTCTTATACACAGCCCAACTGGAATCAAACCCACAACTTGGGTATGTGATGATGGGAATTGAACCCATGATCTTGCAGTGCATAGGACTTAGCTTCTACCAACTGAGCCATGCCAGCCAGGGCTCCTTAAAAGTACCAGATGGACATAGTGTAAAAGTCAAATAACTTCTCACAAAAAATGAAATTCCCTACCATTTGCTACCTTGAGACATCACGTTTAAGCCTTTTAGCTGCTGCATTTGATATTTATCTCCACACCAGAGGCCCGGTGCACGATATTTGTGCACTGGGTTTTGGGGGTGGGGGGAGGCAGCCCGGCCTGCACACCTCTTGCAGTGCAACAGAGGTGGGAGAGGCTCCCACCACCACCGCTGCTCTTGCCAGCCCTGAGCCCCGGCTTCTGGCTGAGCGGTGCTCACCCTGTGGAAGCACATTGACCACCAGGGGGCAGCTCCTGCATTGAGCGTCTGTCCCCTGGTAGACAGTGTGCATGATAGCAACTGGTTATTCCACCATTTGGTCGATATTAGCCTTTTATTATATAGGATTGATTGTTATACTGTTACTTCTTGATGTTTTAAATAATGTCTTGCCTTTGTACCCCAAAGCAGGTGAGCCATGCATTTTTAAAGTGCAGGCTTTAGAACCAACCTGCCTGGGTTGAAATCCTGGTTCTAGCAGTTTTAAACTATGACTTTAGGCAAACCACTCTCCCTCTCTGAGCCTGGGCTTCCTCGGCTCTAAAAGGAATACTGTCTGCCTGCTTCAGAGGACTGTTGTGGTTCGTGCACATTTGGTAAGCCTGCATTCCACACCTGCAGGTTATTATTGCTACAGAAGCTCTCTCTACCCACGCCCCAAACCTACGTGGTCTCTGCCCCACTTTCCTCCAAATAGACTCACATCTCAATTTCGGTCAAATCCATATTCAGCATTAGAGCTATGTAAACACTGTTCTCAGATAAGGCACACAGTGTACTGTGATTAATTTCCTTCCTTGGACAACTTTTTGTTTTTCTTGGAAAAATAGCTTTAGCTCTTGTCTCTCCCCGCAACTCACCACCCCCTTCGCTCAAGTTTCTCTGACAGTAATTTGGCCTCACATTGTCTAGAGCCCTGTAAGAATCCTTTCAGCCTTGGCCACCCATCGTTCACGTGTCCCTGCAGCCGTGGCTCCTGTGCTGCTCCCGCCTGGGTACTGCTACCATCGGGCATCCCTCATGTCCCCCTGGGTCTCCCTGGGTCCCAGGACCTCTTCTTGGTTGGCTTTCTCACTTCACTGAGGCTTATGATTTCACATCCTCAATTCACAGTGTGGCTGGGCAGAGAACTCTAGAAATAAGTAACTTCAGAACTATGAAGGCATTTCCTGTGTCTTCTAGTCGTTCAAGTTCTTGCTGAGAAGTCCCATGACGCTGGGACCCACGGTCCTTTGCACAGGACGTGAGCTTCCCTCTGGAGGTTCTCAGGTCTTCCTCTGTCCCTGGGATTCTGCGATTCTATAAGGATGTGTCTGCATATATTTTGTTTTGTCTTGTTCCGTTTATTGTGCCAGGAATTTCCACCTGAAAATTCATTATCTTGGATCGTGGAGAATTTTCTTCCCTGGCCTTCCTTATTCATTTTTAAAAATATACGTTTCTGTTGATTTCAGAGAGGAAAGGAGATGGGGGAAGAGAAACCTTAGTGATGAGAGAGAAACATTGATCAGCTGCCTCCTGCACACACCACACTGGGGATTGAGACTGCAACCTGGGCATGTGCCCTGACAGGGAATCAAACCATGACCTTCTGGTTCATAGATTGATGCTCAACCACTGAACCTCCTAGTCTTCCTTCTTGCTCTTTTTCTGGATCTCTAGTACTCAGATTTTGCATAACCTGGATTAATCTTCTAACGTGCTCTTTATATTCTACTTTATCTTCTAATTCTCCTCAAATTTTAAGTATTTTTATCCTATTTATTTCTAAAGTCTTTTTCTCTTGCATTTTGTAACATCTGTTCATTCACAGCATAATACCATCTCTCATCATCTTTGGGAAGATCCTATGAGTTTTTGTTTAAGTTTTCATCTTTCCCTCCAATGTCTCGATTCCTCTTAAATTCCTCTTTTCTTTGTTTTGGAATGCTTCTTGAGAAGATTTTCTTCCCTCGCCTAGCCTTTCACATTGAAAAGCGAGACACCAGTCCCAGCTGGGAGGCTGAGTTGGTTGGAGCATGGCCCCGTACACCAGAAAGGCTGCAGATTTGATTCCCAGCCAGGCACGTCTGGGAGGCAATTGATCGATGTTTCTTTCTCACGTCCATGATTCACTCTCTCTCTGCCCACTCGCCCCCATCCCTCCTTCCTCTCTCTACAAAAATCAATAAACCTGTCCTTAGGTGAAGATTAAAACTGACTCTATATAGGAAACTGGAGCTCTGTGGGAGAGGAGGGAGCCTGATGGTTGGCAGGCCTTGTGTGAGGATTCTGGAGACAGGTTTTGAGGGGCCCCCAGATAACAATCTGTAGATATGCAGATTT